TCAGGTCAACATATAAAAGTAGAATTGTTTGGGGATTGGGCGAGAGATATGCGTGCACGTTTACGACAGATTAGATTCACTAAAATATGCTGGTTAAGATTAGTTTAATACTTCCTTTTTTTTTATAAACAAGATTAGTTTAATACTTTGAGTAGCATAGGTAAAGCTGAACGAGGATCGTGGATGATAGCTGGATTGCTTTTTAAAATTTTCTTAATTGCGTCTATAATTTTAGACTCAGAGGAGGAAGGCCTTATTCTTGCATCGTCTTCACACGCATGTGCATTTTTCTTTTTTTTGTTAAATCATTTGTGTATTAGCATATATTACGTTAACCATTTTTGTGAGTGTGTGTAATTCGTATTTTGGTTTGGATCTTTAGCCTTGAATTATACTATAACTTTTTGTAGAGTTTTGGATTTTAAAACAAGTGGCTTTGATCGTTTGTTGATGTCAACAACGATGCGACAATACGTTTTATTGATTTTAGCAAAAAAAAAAGACAATACGTTTTTTATTGTTTGTTGTACCTGACAGTGTTGATTACCGACGAGAGACACATTTTATAGTCGTTAGTTCTACTATAGTAGTAGTTGCTAACAATTGACTATCAAAAGTGTCATTGCTTAACCAATAATAACAAAAATGAATATGATATGGTTGCTCTTTGTTGTCACTGTGATCATATGCAATATCAGAACGAACATACCCAAAATATTGATCAAATGAGATAATAAAATTTTGAGTTAAAAAAACCAGAAACTAAAACAAGAATCATCACCATCATTCAACACATCCAAGTTTTCAGTCATGAGAAAAAATAGTAATCCTTCTTAGGAGAAATAATATGGCATTGCTCCATAAAATTTAGTTCAAAAATAAAAAAAAAGTTACATATTTTTCTCTCTAGCACAAACTCTATAAGTGATTTTGTTTTATAAAAATTCCAGAAGATTTGTAAAGGAAAAAGCCCAAAAAACTATGGACTGACACAAAAACGTGAGCTCCGCATAGAAGCGGAAAGATTCGGCGATCAAGGCACAAAGAGCCGCGAAGGTACACGTAAGCAAGTAAGGGTAATATGGTAAATTTAACAGAAGTGGAGCCCTACGTTTGTGTGGGTTGGTCACTGAATCAGGTTGAGAGAGACAGAAGGATTAGCGTCAACCTCTAATCCGAGCTGGCACTTCTTGCCAGCCTGTTCACAGCTGTGCTCCAACGTCTTTTCTCTCTACCCTTCAACTGACCCCATATTTTGTTTTTACCCTTATTATCCGTACTCATTTAATAAAAAAACTTATATAAACAATTTATTTACAAAACAAACCTAAAGATTATTATTTACCAAACAAACCGTCACATTTTAACACAATTGGCCAATTCTTTTGATTTTTCGAGAATTATAGCCCAAATTGAGGCTACTTGTCAAGAAACAAAGCTGCCACATTTCCATTGATTTAGCCAAAATATATCAGATTATTTTGCAAAAAATAAATTGGTTTAAACTTAGTCGAACTGATTAATCTTGAATTGCAAATGTCTTTGTCTATGTACACTATTTCTGATATGGGAGTGAAATAGTTAAATTAAAAAATTTGGTACTAAATCTTTAAGTTTTGAGAGGATAAGGATATATTGTACAGTTATGGAAAATTTACAGAAACAAAGGAGGGAATGCAAAAGTGGAAAAAAATGTAATTTGTGCTTCCTTCTTGTCCCACTTAAAAAACCACACAGAGAGG